GACACGAAGTCCTATCAAAACAAAAAGGAGGACGGCTGCTGCTTTAGGAATATCTCGTCGGGCCATACAAAGAATTTTGCATTCAGCTCTTCAAATGTTCCCTTACAAAATAACATTTGTCCAAAAATTAACAGTATAGGACAAGTAACGAAGACATCAGTTCGCTTCATGATTTGTGCAAGAGGTTGTTTGTGACAAGTGTAAAGGTTCGCTTGCAGGGGGTTGTGAAACAAAATGGTAAACACATTGAACACACACTACATTGAACTAAATTTCCATGCTCATACAATTAATTCTGCACTAATTTTGCAATATTTTGATGATAAATACGAATGGTATGACATTTCGTGCGCCACCCCGTATATCGTGCAACCAATGCCAGCAAAGTGTTCCGCAACAATGTTCCACCTCGGTGGGACATTGTATTCCAGCAGGTGTGCTGATTTCATGGGGAGTTTTGGGCCCCTGCTTGGTAATCTACCAAACAAAGACGCATGAACTGAACATTCAGTCAACGCCTCCCAGTGGGCGCGATGCCCTAAATTCGCCCCGCTACCTTACGAGTAGGTTATTTAGCCAAATGCTAGGGGTGGAGTCCCCTAAGTCAACTCCCTACTTCAGCTTGGGCAACCGCGTAGTGTCACGCCCCCTCGCAAAACCATGGACTGTATTACAACGTGCCCATCAGATACTGTTTCTGCTTCTCACATTCACGCGAATTCATCACACGCCATTTGTTTGTTTGTTAACCATCCTCACTTTCCGTTACCGGATTCATTTGTTCAATAATCTGGCTGCGATTCCGGTTGCGCCGCAGACAAAGGAGTTCCACCTATGGCTCTCCTTCGTCCCCGATCCTCATTCCATCTGGCGTGCTTCAACGTTCGGACACTCATGTAGTTTAAACAGCAAGCCGATCTGGTGCGCACCCTAGATTCCCTAGACATTGATGTCTGCTGCCTTTCAGAAACCCGATTGCAAGATCCCAGCACTGTGCCTACATTGACATCCTCCACTGACCACGATGCTAGAGATCACCTGCGTCTTTCTGGAGATCCAGAAGCAGCCTCAGCTGGTTTGGCTGGTGTAGGTATAGCACTAAGTGGCAAGGCCGGGGCGGCTCTACTGGACTGGTTCCCTATTAACAGCCGACTATGTGCAGTTCGGCTTCGGGGTTCATGTAGAATCAACAGGCACCGCGAAGAGAGACGCAACTTGTTTGTGATCTCCGTGTACGCTCCATCTGACTGCAGTGGCGATTCGGTCAAGGACGAGTTCAGCCGGGATCTACAACAGATCTTGACTAATGCTAAGAAGGCGGATGTCGTTATCCTTGCTGGGGATTTTAATGCACGGGTTGGTCGCCTGTTACCATACGAACGCCACCTTGGTGGTCATCACGCGCTCGATGAGAACCGCTCTGAAAACGGAGAGAGATTTCTCACATTGTGCGAAGACAACCGTTTGTTTCTTTCGAGCACTAACTTCAGGCGTACGAAGAAGCGTTCCGCAACGTGGCGTCCCACTTCTTCAACACAACTGTGGTCTCAAATTGATCACATTGCAATTAGCTTCAGATGGCGCGGCAGCGTACTGGACTGCAGATCCTTTTGGTCCACCTTCGTTGACTCAGATCACGCTCTGGTCTGCGCGAAAACCTGTATGTGTTTTGGAGGATCCCGAAACACGGAGCACCGCAAGATTAATGTAAACAGACTAACTGAGTCCTATGTCCAGGCGAGCTATCAGTCTTCACTGGAATATGCACTGTTGCAATCCACCGCAAGAAATAGAACAACACTTGACTTGTATACGGAAGGCAATGACCATTTCCGGACAGTCATGCTGCGATCTAACTCGACGCCCCCTGAAGGCTTGGATCTCTGCTCATTCTCTGGAGCTGTTCGAACGCCGAAAAGATATCCCCGCAGAATCAGAATGCAACGAGTGTCGCCGTTCTGCCAACCGGCTGCTTAAGCAAAGCCTACGCAAGGATCGCGATACATGGTGGTCTGAGCGTGCTTTAGAGATAGAGACTGCTGCCCTCTCTGGCAGTACACCTTGTTGTCCACCATGGCTCGTCCCACTGAATCCACCCAGCGAAGCAGAAGTCTGCCTCGAGATTCGACGCTTGAAGCGCTTCAAGACTGCCGGCTTAGACGGACTTCCTCCGGAACTATTCAAGTATGGCTGTGTGGCGATCATAAACCAACTGACCGCGCTGTTCGCAAAAATTTTGCATAAATGAAAGTTCCTTCCTACTGGGGCGAATTAGTTTTTGTCCCAATTTTCAAGAATGGCGCTCGTACTTCATGTGCAAATCATCGCGGGATTAGTCTTATTTCGGTTGCCCGTAAGCTATTGGCATCCATTCTGCTTCACAAATTATCCCCAGTACGTGAATCATACTACCGTGAAGAACAAGCTGGATTCCGTCCTGGCTGCGGATGCATGGATCAAATCTTCACGCTACGCCAGCTCCTCGAACATCGCCACATTTATCACAGGCCTACTATCATTGCATTCCTAGACATACATGCCACTTTTGATTCCTTTGATCGACCTCCTTTATGGACTTGCTTTGTAAAGAATGGGGTGCCATAGAAATATACCGTCATCTTACGAGTACTTTACCTTCATACACGCGGCAGACTGAGGGTCAATTGGAAGCTTTCCTCGCATTTCGCTTTCAATAGCGGTGTGCGACAGGGCTGCCCTTTGTCCCCATTCCTCTTCAACTTCGCAATCAAAGACGTTCTGTCGAATGCTCTAGAAGGTTTCCAACATTTTGGCGTAGAGCTTCTACCGTGTGAGCGCGCGACCGACTTAGATTATGCTGATGATATCGCCTTACTTGGTGACGATCCTCAGGGTATGCAACTCATTCTGGATCGTTTAGCGGTTGAAGCACCTGAGTATGGCATGAGCTTCGCCCCATCGCAGTGTAAAGTACTGCTCAAGGATTGGCTTTCACCTGCTCCCGTGCTCACTCTCGAAGGTGCACAACTTGAACAGGTAGATAGTTTCGTCTACCTTGGGAGCTGTGTTTCTGCTGACGGCACTATCAACAAAGAAGTTTCTTTTCTAATCGCTAAAGCTCGGTCAGCAGTTGCCAAGCTGAGGCACTTGTGACGTCGTCGCGACGTCTCATTCTCACTAAAGGGCCGCGTTTAAAGCGCATCAGTTCGCGCAGTATTGTTGTATGGGTGCGAATCCTGGCCGATTCGCGTGGAAGACATGCGTCGTCTTTCGTCCTTCGATAACGGTTGCTTAAGAAGGATTGCTCGTGTTTGGTGGCAACATCGAGTTAACAGTAATGACCTTCGACGTCACATGTTGGGGACAGAGTATTCCCTTCAAACAGCTGGAGTCCTACGCATGGCACCTGAGCGTCTACCGCTTCGCGCTCTATTCGCTCGTCTATGATCTGTCTGGAGGCGATCGCGTGGTAATCAGCCTTCCACTTGGCGGCAGCACATGAAATCGCTGACGTCGTGTCTAGCCGCTGTTGGATCCGTACGTTTTCCAGGGTAAGGACCCAAAGATGAGGAGTGCCAATGGATTAGCGCTTTTGAAGACATGGCCCGCAACCGGAATCAGTGGAAGAATTGTGTACAGTATTGTAGATTCACATGTTTAATACTACAAACGTTGAAAATGACAAAAAAGTGAAAAAGCGGCGCGGGAAAAACGAACTAAAAATGTTTTGTTCCACTTTTTGTCAAAATATTCCATTCTTCCTGCGGCATATTAGCTGAAGTGTGCTGCTCACCTTCAACTAGCATACCGCGATGATTATGACACGATGACTCTTGCTTATCCACTGATCTCCATGGTTTTATGTTGGCCCTGTGTCTAGTTGATAGACTGTTGAGAGTACTACTACTACTACTACTACTACTACTACTACTACTACTACTACTACTACTGCTACTGCTACTGCTACTGCTACTACTACCCTACTACTACTACTACTACTGCCAGGTACCGAACTTCGACAGACAAGAAAACGGTTGTACCGGTCAATATGGAAGCGAAAATGAGATGTGTTGGTTGTAAACCATGTCACTGTCACTGCGGTGAAGTATAATTCAATAAGTGATACTATGGAACGAAGCGTGTGCATTTTAATACTAAGTGAACATGCATTGATGAGAAGCGATTTGATGAATTGCGTCTGAGTAGGTATGCACGCCAACTGTTTGTATATGTAGAGCTGTAGTTATGGTGATGAAGCATTCCGATTTAAGTGGCAAGGACTGGGTAGTTGGGAGCATGGCTGGAAGTCGTTGCTAACGTGGGATAGAAGATAGTAGCATCGGATATCGATGAAGTATGTCATCGCAGATTTTCAAACCGGTTGTCAGTGGAGTAATAGTGGAACTTGTCGTCTGTCAGCAGACGACCGCGAAAGGTTACGGAGCTTGGATATTTATCGGTTGATATGAAGGCAGTTGTGGCTGGCAAAGAAAAAACGAACCCATGGAGCGTTTCAGCCTTATTTTAGGCAAGACACAGCATCACCCAAGTGTACTTGATAGTAAAAGCTAAGTACGACATTTAGGTTTGAATCACCGAAATTTAATGAAAAGATCGAAAGCCTGATGAGGAGGGATAACATTGAGTTGCGTCCATATCTCTCCGAAAACTACCTTCATTTAGCCTTTGAGTGTGTGAGTTGGAGGAATATTTCGGAAAGGATTAGTACATTTGCTACGTGCCCCAAGAATGGAAGCTGTAGGCACCTTTGGAAGGACGAAAACACAGGTCGAGACACTGACCTACTAAAGAATACCTTCGATATTTAAAGGATTTCTCCTCTTTCAAATCAACGCTTCCAACGTGGGTTGCTCAGCAGAATTAATATGACTGGTGCCGGAATAACATTTATACGTTTAGGCACTCTAATGGCATTAAGCATGTGATGCATCCTATTAAATGATTCGCAGAAAGTATTTACAGTACCTTAGAGATTAGGAAAATCCGGGACATTGAACACAATGACACTGGGATCTTCTGATCGTCTCTTGCCAACCACCCCCGGTCTCTGGGGGGGCTGTAGGGGGGGTGGGGGTGGGGCGGGGGGGGGCTCGGGCGGCGCTGGCTGTGGGGCTGTGCGGGGGGGGGGGGGACGGGCTGGTGGGTGCGGGGGGCGCGCTGGGCTGGGGGGGCCGCCTGGGGGGATGGGCGGCGGGGGGGCGCTCTGGGGCGCTTGGGGGACCGGGGCGAGTGGGGGGGGGGGCCTGGGGCCGGGTTGGGGGGGCTGGGCTGGGGGGGCGGGGGCTGGGGGCTCGGTGTGTCGGGCTAGGGGGGTAGCGCGGGGGGTGGCTGGCGCTTGTGCTGTGTAGGCGGGGGCTAGGGGCTGGCTGTGCGTGCTGGGGGGCGGGGGCTGGGCGGGGGGCTGTGTGGGGGGGAGCTGTGGATGGGCTGTTGGGAGCTGGGGTGTCGGCGGTTGGGGCTGGCTGGAGGGGGGCGCTGGCTGGGCTGTTTGGGGGGGCTTCTGGGCGTGTGGCGGGAGGCTGGGGCGAGTCTCTGGAGCTTTGGTAACTCGGCAACAATTTAGGGCTGGGGGGCTGGGGGGGGGCTGGGTGGCGGGTGGGGTTTCTCAACCTTCGCCCCCCATCCCCACTCACCTATCTACAGGGAGGGCGGTAGTGGGGCTGGCTCGCGGTGGGTGATTAGACATATCATAGAACTAATGTCGTAGATAATTTAATATTGTTTAGAGATATTTTGTCTGGTGTAGACGGTGCGAAA